CAGTTGGATCTCCAGTACCCCAATATATAGATATACACATATACACATAAAAACGGACAACTGATAGCTCCTCACTCCACCCTCTTATCCCAGGCTCAGTTCTGCCACTGTTTCGTGTGACCATGTCCTGTAACATTTTGCAACCCCTTGGTGTCAAGCTGACCTGGAGTACCGCAATAGCGTGCACATATTAAGTGCCTATTATGTGCCAGGCACAGTTCTAAGCTAGTGCCCTTGATCCTCATAATCCTACACAGTGGGTACTTTATAGACTTACTTACAAATGAGAAGTGGGGCTAAGCCCTGGTTGGCCAGCTGGGGAGGAGAGCTCCGGGCCACTTAGCCTTCCTCCACTTCTCCCAGGCCTGCCTGCTGAGTTGGGAGTTCCCTTTAGCCTGGGGCTGGGCAGGGGGGGGGGCAGCCACCCTGGGCTCAGTGGGTAAGTTCCTCTAACTCCAGGCCCAGGGGCAGCTAGGAGCTTTTTCTCACTTCTCTGTCTGCAGCTCCTTGATTTATAGCAGCAGAAACTTGGGGTGTGCCTCCCTCTCCGCACCCCTAGAGCAGGAAGGTTTCTGTCATTTCTCTTTCTTGTGTGACAGCTCCTTCTGCCCCCCTCACAGAGCCCTATACCTGGGGCCCCGTGAAGTGGAATGGGAGACACCGCCTTAGATGAAGTCTGCAGAAGGGTTGATTTCTACGCCCCCCCCCCCCAGCCTGCTGAGATTTAGTCTGGGCTGCCGCTTCCACCAAGCTGGAGAGTGTAGGCCCGAGTCACTGGGTGACAGGTGGCCCTTGCCCACCCACTAATCTGCCACAGGGCCTGAAATTTCATTACTAACGCATTTCTTCTGCTCTGGTGAAGACTGCCCTCTCGCATTGTGGCGGAGCAGTGTGACTTTGGTGCCGGACAAGCCTGGGTTTAAGTCCTGGTGTGTCACTGAAGGCTGCAGGATCTTGGGCATTTTCTATCCTTGGCCTCAGGCGTCAGTGAGCTGAAGTGAAGAACTTACCTTGTAGTGTCCGGTAATGAGCAGGTCTAACGAATTGGTCAATGGCAGCTGACGGGTTCCTATGGCCCTAACACGGGTGAGTCCATCAGGCCCATGGATAAAGGAGGCTTTGGGCGGCAGAAGAGCTTCATCTCTGGGGCTCTCTCCAGCCCCAGCCTGAAGCCCGTCCTCTCACCTGCAGCCGCCTCCACATACTCTGCTCC